AAACCTATGGATGTACAAGAGATGGATAACACAAATGAAGAGGAGGAGGATGTTGTTCTTTACAAGAAGATGAGTGTGACAAGGGACATTATCTAGAAATGAGGTTGATCCTGACTGGTTGATCAACAATTACATGTTGAGCTGAAGTAGGGGAGATGATGTCAATGTTGATGTTGAAGAAGAAGATGATACGTTGATTGATTATTGTACTGATAATGAAAATGATTTAATGAGTGATTTATAACAACTTATGATGGTATAATGTATGCTATATGTACTCTTTATTGATTGTGTATGTTTAAATATAGTTAATGATCTAATTTCGTGAGATTATTGTATAAAGTGACTTAAATCTTACCTGGTATCTTTTCTCTATGTATGTTTGCGATTCAAGATGGCTCCTGGTACAAGAAGACCCTAGCTAGAGTGCAAATGTGTTCAATGAATCAGAGTGGCTGTAACGACTCCTAAAATTGCTGCAAACATGGTAAAGTTATGATATTGGTTAACATAAAGCTACTGAAATATATCTTGGATTTTAGATGTCTCAATGTTTGTTAAAATTTAGAATTCATTTTACTTTACCAACATGTAAAGAGTCCTTGTATAACATATTATTACTAATGATGCATTATTTTGATTTTCTAGGCAATATGTGGCAAGAACGTGAAAGGGAGACTAGAGGAGTGGATGTGAGACAACAACAGGAAGTCGAAGTTCATGTAGACTTTCAAAAAGAAGATGGAGTACCTACTGAGTAAACGATCAAAGTTGAGTACTGAGGGAGGAATAGTTGCAAGGAACTATGCCCCCGTTAGAGTGCTTCTTGGAAGAAAGTTCTCTACGATGTGGAAAAACAAAATGATTACTGTATCACGTAATGTCTTTCATACCGTTATCCATATTGTCATACTTCCTTATGAAAATAATAATAAATACATATAAGTTTAATGCATGTACATTATTGTGAATTTGACCAAGTTTGACATTGATGTCAAGAGCCCCATGTACTCAAATGGCTGAAGTACAAACTGGTAAGAGATTCAACAGCTTTCAGAGTGCCCTCACAAGAATTCAAAGCATATTGCTACTAAGGAGGAAACATTACAGAATAGACCTGAGAAATTAAAGATCCGATGATTGGATATATTTGTGACTTTTTTTAGTAAAAGTTTCAGGTAAGGTCAACATGGCTTTAATGTTATTATATATTATTGTATTTTAATATTAAATTTTGTGGTGTTAGGCACGGTAAAACTTATGAGAATCGTTCGAAGATGAGGTGTAAACCAGGTGGTTCCAAGAACTTTATTTAGCACAAAAAGGAAAAGGTATTTATTTATTCACCTATACAAATATACAACTTTGTTTTCCTATTTACTAATTTTATTTCAATTTATGGTCAATGACCATATGAACTGTTAAGGACAAACCAACTTGGGGAATCTGTCGGTCCTATACAATTATTTCATGACACGCTTGGAGGCCGAGAAAGGGTGGATTAATGAACAAGCAAGAGAGCATTATGTAATTGATCATCTTTCAATTATCGATATAAGGTCTTCTCTTATATGTTATGTGTGTGATCAGGAGTAGTGAAAATGAGTAGCTTTTTCCTAAACAAAAATATGCTTTGCTTGTGTATATGTTCTGATGAGAGGAATCTTGTTAGTATGAAGACTCGTGGAAATTGTAGGATATTGCATATAGATGAGAAGGTTAGTCCACAAGGAGTATAGACCGATTGAGCTGACATTATTTTTTCTTTTTGAAATCAGCCTTTTCATCTTTTTTTGCTCTAATCACTTCCTCTAAATCATGGCCTGCTATATCTGAGAAACAACCCTACCACAAGCTGATTTGATGACACTTTAGAAGGTTTTCCTTATATGATGATGTATACATTAATGGCTTTTGGAATGAAAATGGTCATTGTTGCCATGCCTATCTTTTATGTAGTAAAAACCAGCCTTTTGTTTTATTTTTTGGGCAGTTCCACTATAAAGATGTGATAAAAAGAGTGAAACTTATCCCTTGATGGAATTCATTCTCATTAAGAGTTTATGTATGGAAAGGGTAGTTTTTCATAACTATTTATGATGTAGCTTGTTTTTAAACTTATGTAAATATTTAACTTTAAAATTTAAAACTAGGGAATTGAAGTTTAGATTGATTATATGTGAGATACTTGTTTCTACCCATCAATTTTATTTTGTTTGGTGATGTGATATTATGTGAATTTGAGTAGTCTTCTTTTATGGTGCTATTTGTTCTTGGTAACTTATTGATTATACTGAATTGGGTAGGAAAAAATGTAGAGTGCAAATGAAACACAAGCAGGGGAAAGTGAAAAAACAGAAGCAGAATATGTGAGGAAGTTAGGGTAAACTTCCAAAATTAACCAAATTTGTATTTCATAGACTGAGCATCATGATACTGCAACAAAAGCAGAGTTAAGGTGCATAGTGCAACAACAAGAAAATAAGATTAAAATTGGAGGAGCATCATCTTATTTGATCAACAAAAACAAAAAATAAAAAGCCTTGAACAACAAACAAATGTTGGAGATGTGAAGCAGCTAACTATAGCCCTTGAACTACAACAATCTGGTAAAGCTCCAACTCGACAACCATCACCATCTCCAACTGATGAAGACTGTCTCATTAGCTACAACTATTTCAAAAATTTCAATTGGTCACTCGAGATGCTAACAATATTGATGATTAGTTTTTTGTTGTAGGGTAGTAGAATTTTGACATGGGGGTAAGACCTCATTTTAGATTGTTTGCATATATCTGTTAGATGGTGTACATGGGGTGGACATTTTTTTTTAGATCACAGTAGTAGCTAGTGTGAAAATGTGGTGCATGCTTTTTTTTTTGTTATGCACACGTGATATGCATTTTAGATTTTTATTGCTATCATACATAAAAATCCAGTATGATATACTAATATATATGTATATATTGTATATATATATATATTAATATATATATTGATGTTAGTGATCAGATTTTTATATTGTGTCAATTATTTTGGATATTGAATGTATAAACTAGGTCAATACGAAAGCTTTTGCCACTAATATCTTCTAAAAAAAAACACATTATGCCGCTATTTTTTAGTAGCAAAAAGTAATTTATCAAATTGATTCCACATCATCAACATCTAAAATTATTAGAATTAACCACCAAAATTTTGGTCACCAAAAGATACATTCGTCCTCTAATAAAATAGTCGCGAAAACCTTTGGATTCCACATTCAGCGTCTAAAATGATTAGAATTAACCACTAAATTTTGGTCACCAAAAGAACATTTGTCCACTAATAAAGTTGTGAAACCTTTTGGATTCCACATTATCGTCTAAAGTATTAGAATAACCACAAAATTTTGGTCATCAAAAGATACATTCGTCCACTAATAAAATAGTCGTGAAAACCTTTTGGATTCTACATTCAGCGTCTAAAAGTATTAGAATTAACCACCAAATTTCGGTCACCAAAAAATACATTCGTCCGCTAACAAAATAGTTGCGAAAACCTTTTACAAAATTACCCTTACACATTTACTATCTAATTTTTGTGGCATTCATGACAAATTATTAGACACTAAAAGGTATATTTTGCAACTAATTGATTCGTCGCGATGCCATTTTACCAAATTACCCTTGAACAATTAGCGTCTAAGCAGTGGGACTATTTCAACCAGCAATTAGCGACTAATTTGCTAGTCGCCAAAAAAAAACTTTCCGCGTCTAACCAACAATTTAGACGCCCATACTTTATGCGATAGCAATTTTGCAACTACGTGGCGACTACGAAATTTAGATGCGCAAGAGATTTAACGTTTAAATTTTACTTTCGGTGTTTAATTTTGCTAGATGCCGAAAGTCATTTTTCTTGTAGTGATGGGATACATAATCCTCTGATAAGGATGAATTTTTATACCATATTGAAACGAGCTTATCCATTTGCTACAATGTAGATGAGTGAATGATCTTCTAATTAATTATTGAAGCAGTGATCTTATTTGGAAGATAATGTGGGCTTATATAATAATTATTAGTACAAAAATGAAGTGAAATAATGGCTGTGGAATTGCTTGGAAACTTAGCCATTCACAATCAACTCATACATAAACAAGCTGTATATTACTTTCTCATAGGTTATGCGTTTACTAATAATAGAGTCTACTTAGGAAGTTTGTTTATTAGAAACATTGGCAATCACAAAATTACTTGGCTAAATTTTTGAACAAAACCGTGAGGGTGAGTTTGGTGACTGACTGGTGAACGGCGTAATATATGTAAACCGAAATAAAATAAAAAATGGAAATGATTGAGAAAGGAATGTTTCCTTCACCAAGTCAAGTTGACTTTTGAGAGGCCAAAAGCATTTAAAGGATGACAAGGTTGTCAGATGTGTTTTTGCAGTACTTCAAAATACTAGCTGAGATCAAGAAGATTATTGATGTAATTGCTTACAACAGCTTGAATATGACATATGATTAGCTTTTCGTAGCATAATTTTAAAATAGTTCGGCCTTACCTCAGTTTTTTGTTCTACAAGTTAACAATTGCACCTGATATGACCTAGGCTTGGATCATGCTCAACTAGAAGGGTGTCCTTTTTTTTTTAATTAATTTGTCAATTTTAATGAATTATAATTGTTTTATTATAAAAATTGAATTAAATATCCTTTATAATTTTTAAAATGGATACAAGATATAGTAACAAGGTGTTCTTACAAGATATAACAGATTAAATGCAATTTCAAGAGTACTTCCAGATTTTTGTCACAAAATCTTGTGCAAACAACCCTTAAGGGGCTGAGGAAAAACTGTAAAGTAAATTAATAAAAATTATTCTTGCCGACAATCTGATTTACAAGAAAGCAATCTGAGAAAGTAACATTGCCGACAGAATAAATTTGTTTTGGTGAGCATAAACTATTTCTATATAGAGAGCACCACCATTGGTGATCATACAAATGCCTTACGTGTATCTTTAATATTCTAACAAAAACAAATTGAACTGCTGGTTAATCAGTTGTAGAGCTAATAAACTGGTGGAGAGCTTCAGCATCAGCAGCTTTGGATAAAAATTCATTTTGGAAGTCTTTAAATTTGAGGGCTCTATAGATCGGGGGATTAGAAGCATTAAGCAGAGATTTTGCAGGTTCTATAATAGTTTCACTTGATGGATGCACAAAGACAGAAATAGTTGTCCTAGCATGACTTGAATTTGTCATTACTCGATGATCAGCGCCTTTAAGTTTGCCATTGCTGACTATCTACACCTCGGATTATCATGTAAAATTTGTCAAAGTGAGCAGCATACATTAAAAAGATAAACCCACCAATGATAACGTTGTCTAGCTACGAATCCAAACCTTGCTTTTGCATGATTTCATGTAAAGGGAATAATAATAATTTGCTATATATACCTGTAACACATAGCCCATGTTAACCACAAATGCATGAGGAAGAGGTTCAACACCAATCCATTCGCTATCCTTGAAGACTTGAAGACCATGAACATCCCCTTGAAGAAGAATAGTGATGACAGTGGGATCACGGTGCTTAGGTATTCCCAAAGTTAAGGTTGGGTCAGGACATGGCGGATAGTGATTGATGACTATTGTTGGACTTTCGTTAAGACCACTACTGAAGTAGCTAGTGCGGAGTTTTAGTCCTTCGCTAATTAGTTCCAAGATCCTAGACCCCAGCTTCCTTACCTCAACTGAATATCTGCTAACAACCTCTCTGAAAATTTGATTCAAATGGAAGAAATTAGCAAACATTACTTCTGTCGGGTCAATAAATGGAACTAAGTAGTAAGTTTGAAACCGTGTACCGATATTTGGTTGGTTTTGCAGGCCAGAATTGCATGTATTCCTCTAAAGAATAACAAGGGTGGGTTAAACAATCCCTCCAGTAATAAACTTCTTCAGTATCATAATTTCCGCTGCTTGTGTAAAGTTTGCAGCTACCATTGGGATCCTTGGAGCATTCATTAACCTTGTCCTGAGCTGGCATTGCATGGAACTCCCTGGCAACATTCATTGTGTCATCTATTAAATCTTTAGAAACTCCATGATTGATCACCTGTTTATGAAAAATTTCGTAAGAAAGCAGATATATAAGAAACGGTCAAAACTATATCTTAACCAAACAAAGGGAGGATGGCATAAACCTGGAAAAATCCAAACTCTTCACTAGCCTTCATAATTTGCTGAATGGTTTCATTTTGATCATTACTACTGCCAAGATCAAGTACAGGAATGGACTTTCCTAGAGGAAAACTGACTTTTCCGGGCCTTTTTTTCTGGTGGGAAGACATACGGTTCAGGGAGAAGTTCAACTTCAAACCAGCTTGAAACAAGTTTCTCCATGATTATGATGACAACTCTAGAGCAAAAAGGGTGTAATTCAATGGCTCTTAAACGAAGGCAAATGCTTGAGGACTTATAAAAGATGCTTGCAATCGGTTGACCAAGAAACAAATTAAATAAAATCGTATGAAAACTTGCTTTTTTGTATATAGGGTAAGTGAGATGGACATGCATCAGTAGCTAGCTTGCTAATAATAGTAGCAAAAGATAAGAATAATAATTCATATCTTGTTTTTTTAATAGAACAAGTTAGTATCGCTCTTTTGGAAAACTAATTCTGCCTCAAATAATTGGTTCAAATTTCCTTTTTAATTCCTAAGGCGATGATGTAAATTATTCCTTCTATTTTTTTGGCAGAAATTAAATTATTCATTCTCTTTGTCGGCAGAAACGAACGCAGGATTTTGAAGTAATTAACAAACCCTGCACCTATTAACCTTAGATTTAACCAGCCCGAGCGATAAGTTGGAGTGTGAGCCAGCCTATGTGCCCATTTTGTATTTAAGGTCCAAGCAGAGCTTAAACGATTCAAGTTTTACCAAGTCAGAAATTGAGTGAACACTTATCTGAATATACTTGATCTTCAAATTCGAAGACGAGTAGTTATTGACTTCAACCACTGAATGGTAGTTCTGAGTTTTTATAATAGAAAATACTGAATTTGAGATCACTTACTTTATGCGGAAAACGTGTGTATCTAAATTCCAGCTAACAAATTCTTTTATAATGACAATAAACAATTTCAGAGTTATACACAATTAAGTACCTATTTCTTGGGCATTTTCGCAATAAACTCTGGTGATTAACTCTGAATAAAGAGGAATGAATTAGATTCTAGCGCGAATTGATATTCATATTAAGACTGAAAGGTACAACACAAAAAAGGTAGAAATAAAAGGGAAGGTTGGGCTTTTTGAAATGGTGAAGTAACAAACTGTTGATATTCATATTCATATATAACTAGTCTCAAGCTCAAGTCAATGAACAGTGATACTACTCAAACACGGGTGAATATTTGACTATGAGGGAGACACCACAACAACCATCTTAATGTTAATCGTGACAAATCATACACTTTTTCCTTTGAGATTTGACAGGAATAATAAGATATTGGAGATTGGGAGTTAATTATTGGCAAAATTTCAGAACAAGATATGATTTTGGGTAAACAAGAAGGGAAAACATATTATTCAAATACAGAGCGTTATCCCTTTGAATAAAAATGAAAACCCTAATCCGATAATTAAGAATCCCCGTTGATATTCCTATCGTAGCTTTAATGTCCGTACCATCAGGAAAAAAAAAATTATTTCTACAGAGAATTAGGACCTTTAAGAACCAAAGAAAATTGTTGTCCTGATAATTAGGAAAAGAGTACCACAATACATCCTTCTGATTAATGGAATATTTTTCTATTTTGTCTCATATTTTCTTAAATCTCTCAGCCAGCAAGAACTATAAACAAAGCTAACAGTAATAATCCATTAATAAAAGATAACAAGCACCGAGGTTAACCCCTAAAATTCATTTTTTTTTTTTTATATATTTTTTATTTCAACTTTTCTCCTTGTACTTCAGCTGTCGGAAATACGAGTAAAGGAGACTAAATGAGATAATTTAGTGAATTCAATCATCATTGAATTGATTAGAATTGAATTAACATTACCTATTTATAATAAAATTAAGTTATATAATAAGGAAATATAATATTGTAATAATATCTAAAATCTACTAGAATAAGGAAACATAATATTTTTTTCACAATTAAGCAATAGATTATTTGCATTCCATTATGTACTTCAACACTCTCCCTCAAGCTTGTGGTTATAAACCATAAGCTTGCATAATTTATGCGAATGTTGTCGTTACCTGCATATGTGGTTGCCGCATTGGCAGTCGGGAGTTGATTCTACATCTGGAGCAGTTGATTGCTACTTGAGTTTTGGTTGTTTACCATTGGAAAAATCTAACTGAGTATCTGTTTGAATTGTAGGGACATAAAAGAAAGACTAATTAAGTATTGTACTAACCGAGTATCAGTTTGAACTGTGAGGACAGAAAGAGAGGCTAAATGATTATTGTGCTAACTGAGCGAAAGATGATTCAACCTGGTTGTCGAAAATATGAGCAAATGAGACTCAATGAGATAATTTAGTGAATTCAATTATTATTGAATTGATTTTAATTAAATCAACATTACCTATTTATAATAAAATTAAGCTATATAATAAAGAAACATAATATTGTAATAATATATAAAATCTCCTAAAATAAATAAACATAATATTTTTTTCACAATTATGTCAACATATTATTTGCATTCCATTTTGCATTTCAACACACCCTTATGAAAGAATCTAATAAGTCTCATTTTGATTACCTTTACAGAACAACACTCAGGTGATAACATATAAATTACATCCCTTTAAATGGTTACTTTATGCATCTTCTATTATATATTTTGACTTTCTAAATCAAATTTTTGACCTCCGTCCTGTAAATTCATCGAAGCCCCTGATTAAGTTTTTATTATTAAGTTATATATGGCATCAATACACTATAGTTTGTAGGGTCTTCCAGTTTCGTTCTGCAAAAAGAAGAAAAAATAAAGTATAATGCAATTAATCTCTTCCTTGAATCAAAGCATGAAATTATGGGACCTACACTGCACTTCAAAGGGTGAACAGATGATGATGGCGATGGTTCTAGTTCACTGGGTTCACTGCTTCAAAAAATAAAAGGGCTTTCATATTTCTTGCTTAACATGGAAGCCATGAGGACAGTTGGTCATCTCTTTATGCCACCTCTCTCGTGCATTCTATGCAATTTGATAATTACATGTACATGTGCTACCTTTCAAGCTTTTTTAATATACTGTATAAGCATTCAAATCTTTGATTTATAGTAAAAAACTCAGCTCTTTTATCCCACTTGGTTTATCTTCATAAGTTATATATAAATCTTGTCTCTGTGTTCTATCTCACTCTCAGATTCCCTTTGAATATATTCTTAATTTGATTCATATCTATGTATGAACCTCATTAGTCAAACTCACATTTCCTGAATCCTTACTTCAAAAATCTTATATTTTTTTCATCTGGAGTGGTTTGCTTATGGCACGAAACCACAAACACTTCTATAACCTGGGAGCTCAGGCTCTAGCACCCATCAAAAACCAAGAAATCTTGACAAATCAAGTGCCTGCAACGCAAAATTCAGATTCAGCTTTTCCTATTCTAGCAATTGCTGTTCTAAGTATCATGGGCACAGCTTTCTTGCTAATTAGCTATTACATGTTTGTGACTAAATGCTGCAATAACTGGCAACGACTTAATCTTCTGAGGCGATTTTCTATTTTGCGAGCTAGACAGAATGAAGAACCATTTATAGCCTTCTCTCCAACAATGTGGAACCGTGGACTCGATGATTCAGTCATTCGCGATATCCCAACTTGTCAATTCAGAAGAGAAGAAGGTGAGGAGATAAATATCTATGGATGTGTGGTTTGTTTGAATGAATTTCAAGAACAAGATATGCTAAGAGTTCTTCCAAACTGTGGCCATGCTTTCCACTTAGATTGTATTGACATATGGCTTCAAAGCAATGGCAATTGCCCTCTTTGCAGGACAAGCATTTCAGGCACAACTCGATGTCCCTTCGATCAAATAATTGCACCAAGATCTTCACCTCAAGGCTCACAGCAATATACTGATAGCCTCATGGGTGGTGATGAGGATTTTGTGGTAATTGAATTAGGAGAAGATGAAGATGTTTTGTTCCCTCATAGGCGACAAGAAAGAGAGAATTCAAGTGAGGTTTTTGTTCAGCCAAGAGGTCGTTCACCAAAGAGGTCAGAGCAGAAGCTTAAGAACTTAAAACCAAAAAAAGGCCACCATAAATCAATTATGGGGGATGAGTGCATTGATATACGAGAGAAAGATGATCGGTTCCCTATCCAACCTATTAGGAGATCCTTCTCACTAGATTCTGCGGCGGATCGACAGCTTTACTTAACTGTTCAAGCAATTGTTCAACAAAATGGGCATCATAGAGAGGTTAATACTAATGAAGAATGTAGCACCAGATCCCAGAGAGCCTTTCTCCCATTTAGACATGGCAGGGGATCAAGAAATGCTGTTCTACCTGTTGAATTTTAGCTATAGTGTGATAAAGTTTAATTTGAATATCAATTGTCAATTTTCTTTTGATTCTTGGTTCTTGGTTCTGAGATTGAGTTGGTAGAAACTTTAGGATGCCAGTGAGTAGTTAGATGAGTACAGAGTGACTTTGGATTGATCTTTTACATAGTCAGAAAAGTTTTTAAAAAAAAAGCCAATGTGGTTCTTAGTGAAATGTGGGGATTGGTATGAAATTATTACTAAACCATTATGAGTGGATAAGACTATCTTTATTTTTCTGTGAGTTTCTTTCTCATGAATGAGAATGATTGCTTTCAATTCTTTTCATATGGAGTCTCTCAGAATGGAAGCCAGAGCGAAGGGACCCAAATAATGAGGATAATAAGTAAAACAATGGAATGATCACCAACCTCTTTTTGTCTTGCAGTAATTATTTGGATGTTGGTGAAGAGCAGAAACAAATTATCAGCTTAAGTTCATGTTTAATTATGATTTCAGTGTTTTTCATTGTTTTCAGCATAAAGAACCAATGTTTGTCTCTTTGCTCAAAAGCTTTAATAGAAAGGGAGAGTCCATTCTGCCTATGGCCTTCTCTAGCAAAACATAATCATTCGCTAAGGTAGTATTTCGGTACTTTTATATCATCTTAAGCAATGTCAACTGTGCTCATCTTTAGAGACTTTCCTCAGAAAAAATTGGTCATTAGTGAGCTTCAGGGTCATGTTCAACTTGACTTGTAGCAACGGTGCGCAATTTGATTACCACTCATTATTCATCAAAATGTGCCATTGAAAAAAGAGAAAAATGAAAGTTCCCATGGTCCAGTGAGATCAGCTCGACACATACTCGAGTTTTATAAAACTTGTTAAATGGCTTACACAAGCAAGTAGAACTCAACTCAGGACATCTTCAGGGCTGATACAAAATTAAGTTAACACCCTGATTCAGAGTGAAATTGACAGATAAAAACTCAATGTTTGCAAAGAGGAAAGATCTTACCAAGTCTATATTTCAAAGCTCCTAAATAAGCTTCTGTCCTTTTTTATTCATAAAGATTCAACAGAAGAAAGAAAAACCACTGATCAATATCAATATGCAGGACTTAGGTCAAGGCCTTATCAATATGAACAGAGAACATCATCAAGATATTTAACCTAAAATGCTTAATTTCATCATTGCAACAGAACATTATCTCTCCCACTCAATTACAATACCTATTGCCCTGGGAGCATTATGACTAAACTCGGGGTAACTTACTCGATCTACTCATCTCATTTGTCCTTGATACAGTGAGATATTAAGTGAACAATAAGCACAAACGTGGTGATCAAGAGCCACGCCACTAGCTCAATGAATGAGCTTCCATTAATGATCTTTGCAATATTCTCCGTACCCAAACAATAAAATTTATAATGCATTTTCTCATAATGTGATGCAAATGCAATCAGTACAAGCATATTACATGACAAACATGAGACAGCCTTCTTACCAAATTATGAAGCACTGGAAACGCAATAGAGGTAAAGCATACTTTGATTTGCCATCAAAGCCGATGCTTCTTTAAGGAACCAAAAGTTCTCAATAGCAAAGGGTAATAAATTGGTAATCACAGTCATGTGTCTTTCTGGTGATTCATAATCAGAGTATTATATTTATACCAAAACAATACCCCGTAAAATAACTTAATCCTGATTTCACATTCACTATTGGAGTGGATCACAATGAATTAGGACTAAGACTGGACAATATTTACATGTACACTTTAAAACTTCTTGTTAAACAAATCTAGATAAAAATAAAATAAAAATTTCTATAATAATAAAATAAATTATTGAATGTATATAATACTAAAATTATTTATAATATTAATAAAGTAACTAAAATATAATAAAAATAAAAGTCTAAAAGCATCGCGAACAACAACTAGAAATAACTGCAACTAGACTTCTCTGTGCAAATCTGCTCCCAGCGTCATCCAGGGACACAAGAGGTCATTTAGTCCATAGCTAGAAATACTACAGTCACACGCAAAACACAGTTTTAAAACAAATTAATACTGTCTGTCTTCTCTTATTATCCAATCCAGTCCATGTCAACAAACATACCCCATCAGTAGTACATTCCAAGATCATGCATCAGTTTGGCTTATAAAGCAGTTCTAATTAACTGTGCTTATCTGGTTCCGAGCTTTGGTTAGAGTGATCAGCATGAGGCAAAGGCAAGGCCCTTGTTGGAAGCTCGATAGTGGATGTGCCACGGGCTTTATTCTTTAATTGTTTAAGAAGTCGATGGGCTTCTCTCAGTTCATCTTCTGCACTCGGTCCATGACCTTCCCAGGCATCAATTGCTCGCTGCTGGAATTCAATTGCAAGGGAATAACTGCAACATCCAGGAAATTTTTTAAATAATATATCTTACCTAAACACATTTCATTTCATGTCAATTGCTGCCAAAGCAAATACATACAAGCAGATTACACATATGTTTACATATCAGCATCAAAAAAGTTATATCTACTTAATCTAAAAAGATTCAAGTGTAATTCAGCTTTTCTGTAACCAACAATCAATGCAATTTGAGTAATAAATTACCCTGTGAAGGCAATGAAACAAGAGAGCGGGTAAAACAGTCTTACCTTCCCATAGCACTGTATGCCTTTGAAAGGTTTTGACATGTCTCAATTGAATCAGCATGATGAGGACCAAGTGAGACATCCATGATATCTTTAGCAACGGCAAACATCTGTGCAGCTGACTGAGGTCTATCTAATTCTAAGTATGCAGCCCCCAAATTGTTGTAAATATACCCCACTCCAAAATGCTTGGGACCAAAGCTCTCTTTTAATCTCTCCGCTGCACTCTCCAAGTAGGGAATTGCCTGAGACACCTTACCTGTCAACAGAAGTAACCACCCTATTCTAGCAGAAACACTTCCTTCCGAATGCTGTTCTTGTGGAAGTTTCTCAAGCAAAGCCAGGGTTCTCTTCAACAATGAAATTGCAGTTTCAAACTCATTCATAGTCTCATATTGCATTGATATCTCTGAGTATGCCTCTGCAACTTCTACTGGTGAAACTGTTTCTTTCTTATCTAGAATTCTGCAAGCAATCTCTAAACACCTCTTTGAGTCAGGAAATTTTTCCTGGTTACACAACGCTTTTGCCATTGAAATAAAAACCGATGCTTGAGTCTCACTATCTTTTTCTGTCTGCTGGACAACACCCTTCAACGTATCAATAGCCTCCTCGAACTTTCCCAATGCAATTTGCATATTTGCAGCATCAATCTCTGCACGAAGCAACTCAGAATTAAGACCCCAATTTTTCAAAACCTTCTGTGACAACTCATTCTGCTCCAATGCCTTCTGGTGCTCTTCCAACCCACTATATATCACCCCAAGAACCCTCCTATCATGTGCAACCTCTACAGAATTATGCCCCAGTCCATTCTTATGAATCTCCAAAGCCTTCAAACCAAACGGCAATGCCTCTTTAAAATTTAAAACTCCAGCATATGCTTCCGCCAAATCCCTGTTTGCCACTCCTAATTCCCTACTGTCTTCCTCCAGAGTCAACTCCTTAATCTCTAGACACTTCCGAAGATGCTCTAAAGCCTCCTCTCGTCTACCCATCGCAGTCTTCACATTGGCTAACTCAAGCTGCACAGCATGCAAAACCGGCCTAATATCCTCCATTCCACCTAAACCTTCTTCCTCTAACCGGCACAGTATCCTATTAGCTCGATTAAGATACCCCAAACAATCATTAAACCTTTTTAAGGTATAATTAGCGGAACCCATCAATTGTAAACACATAGCAACAGGTAACGACGGTTTATTATTGTTATCATCTCTGTCAAGAGCTTTCAAAGCTCTATTAGCAAAAGAGAGAGTCATTTCAGGGTCCTCACCTTGCTGATCAAGTTTGAGACCAATTTTCAGAGAAGCCAAACCAAGCTCGCTCTCATCAAAAGAAGCCTCCATTTCTTTAAAAGCTTGAAGCATTTCTTCAGTGGTCTTTGCGGACTCAAAAGCCTCTTCAAGATCAGATTTTTCTTTGATTTTTCTCTGTCTAGAGGAGAGTTGAGGTGGATTCCGTACAAGGGTGTGGAGTTTTTGAGATGGGTTCGTCTGATATTGGTGGGTTTTGAAGAACAAGCCATGGGTTTTAGAGCAGGGTTTGCGTGGTGAAGAAGATGCGGTGAGATCAGAAATATAATTTCTGGTGAGAAGATGGGTTAACTTTCGAGGTTTGTGGCGAGAGAGGTGTAAAAGAAGCGAAATCGAAGCTCTTTTCATGGTGTAATTTAGAAGATTCTTTAGTTATTTTTGTTGTTCTGCTAAACCCTAATAAAACCCTTTCCCTTTGGTTTTGGTTTTGGTTTGGTTCAGCCAGTTGGTTCGGTTCGGGTTCAGCCTTCTTCGTTTGTCGTCATGGATGAGGTGATTATCACCCTCAAGCAATGGCCCCGTTCCGTTAAGGTAACGTTCGGGGATTCCTCAAAGTACCCGTTTGGGGTCTTTTGTATTCTTATTAGTTTTATTATACTTTTCTCTAAATCATATATATCAATAAAAAAAAAATTAAACATATAATATACATATTAAACATAAAGACCATATCATCAAAAAATAAATTAAATCTATAATATACATATTAAATTTAAAAACCATCATACTAAATTAATAATATATTACAATATGTGACATATCTATAATAAAAATATTCAAAACATGAGCGGCAAAAAGACTCACCTCACAATTATACATATTAGTATTTTTTTGTTAAAATATTCACCCCCAACAAGTGTTAGATCCGCCCCGATTAATGATTATAATGAATCCAAATATCAAAATGATAATTATAATACATTATACATATGTATAAATATATTATATATTAAGAGTATAATATTATGTATTATTGTATTAAGTAATAAGTATTAACATATATAATGTCTCTTTAATATATATTACATATGCTACATTATACATATATATTATAACAAATTTTAAATAAATAACTATCATATATATTATAATAAATTCTAAATAAATAGATATCACAATATAAAAAAGACAATTAGGTAATAGAATTGAAATAATGATTCAATGAGTAATAAAAAAAAATTATAATGATTTATTGATTCATTATAATCAATCAAAACAACAAATAATATATTACATATATATTATGTATTAACGTAAGATTATAGATAATAGCATATTATGTATAAATTATAATGTACAACATATATATGTTATATACATTATACTTATATAGTATATACCATATATAATATACAATATATAATATATAATGTACAATGTCAAATGTATACCATATATAATGTCGAATGTATAAATTTTATTTCATAGCATTAACATATTATATATATACAATGATTTATTATATTTAATCTAGTTTTATTTTTTTACATATTTGTATATAGTTTTACAAAATACTTATACAGTTATAATTTGTCATTGTATAATGTAAATTGATTTTCAAATATTAAAATTATTATAGGTATATATGATTGATTTTCAAATATTAAAATTAATATAGGTATATACGATTGATTTTTAATTATTAAAAATATAAATATATATATATTATATATATATTATATATTATATATATATATATATATATATAGTATATATATATATTAAATACGGGTTGGGTCGGCCCACCCCGTCCTAAATTCTGGGGCTAATCAGGTCCGATCCCTACCAAAACCGAACGATAGGGGAAAATCCCCATTCAGACCGGGGTGGGACGGGTCCCCACGAGGCTAGGTTTTGTGCCCATCCTACCCAAGAACTACCGTGAATTTCACACTCTTGGGTGTTATTGATGGGTGTAATTGGAAGTGAGCAATTAGAGGAAGAAGAGCAAACTCTGGACATGAGAAACTCCATGAATTTTACACCTTTTATGTTAAGGACAAGTTTTGTTGGCAACCTTCACCTTGGGGGGTATTTTTCTAGGAAATCGGTTTGGGAGGACATTAGAAGAAGAGGAGCAAAAGTTGATTGGTGTGGACTTGGTGTGGTTCTCAAAAGTAATTCCAAGGTACTCCATGTTTTATGGATGGCTATTAAGGAGAAATTACCTACAAAGGACAAGTTGATAGGTATGTGTGCTACTTCTAATGCTACTGTTGTTTTTGTAACTAATTCTTGACCAACATTTTTGCATACCCTTTTTCTAAATCTATTTGGAGTAGAATCCTTATGCTTGCTGACCTCGGCTATGTGGTTAGACCTTAGCATGATTACATCCCCATTTGGCTAGGAAATGAAAGGTAAGAGTCTAAAAGTCACCTAGTAGGGGCTACGGTGTATTGGGTTTGAAGGTATGTGGTGACCTTGGCATGATTACATCCCCCATTGCTAGGAAATGGAAAGGTAAGAGTCTAAAAGTCACCTTAGATAGGGGGCTACGGTGTATTGGGTTTGAAGGGAGCGAAATTGTAGGATCTTTGCGGGAGAGTGCAAGGAAACTCACCTATTATCAATACTATAAAAAAAGTGTGTGAAAGACAAAAGCCAGGAATTTAGCAATATTAAATCTTCCTATAAAATAGGAAATTGGCTGATACATGAGGACTTTCTAGAACATCTTCAAAAACACTCATTTACTCCCAACATTATTGGGACATGTGATGAGTGAGATGGTGTTCCGTCGAGAGAAAACTTATTGAGTTGCTCCTTGTTTTGTGAAGACTTTGCCAAGGTGTATCCTCACTCTCTTTATTTCTCTGCTTTGAGTTTTCTTGTGTTTTGTATGTGTTCTTTGTGTTCATTGTATGTGTTTTGGAGCAAACCTGGGGATGTCTGAGGATGGTGTTTACTGTTGCTTCTTAGCTATATCTTTTCTCTTGGGTTTTATCTCCCATGTTGGTTTAGATAGAATCCCAATAGAATATTATAGTGTCAAGTTTAAGCATTTATTTATTTTTTGCACCCTACGCGGGGTATATCCCGATGTAGGTGGCCACCTTTTTTGTAGGCTTTATAAATCTTTTCTTTTTAATATAATTTACCTAAAAAAAAAAAAAAAAACTACCTAGAAAACCAAAACTAGTTTCAAGTTCTCGCAGCAGGTTTAGAAGGAAATGGCAAACTGGTTTCTTATAGACATAAACGAACCAAAAGCTGATTTAAGAAAATAATACGACTAAACCCAATTTCCATTATAGACAAAACAATTTGCGTTAATGGTATGAAATTTAAATGATCAATAGCTTGTAATTTGCCTTTACTATCAGAAGGCTCACAAGACTTCGTATTTGTAGACTTGATCACCTTCTAAAGGAGGCCTACACAGAATCTAATCTAATCTTATATACAACAAAGAATTGAGTTTCCTTCCTTATACAGACCAAATATCAGAGTCCACCCAAGGCCAAGGAAACCCATTCACATTCACATTCCATAAAAGCTTAAAGCAAGAACCTCTCAACAAACTAAGAGAATTTATTACTCAAAAGTTTGGGGGCTCTGGACTCGCAACAGGGGTTTCAGGAGGTTTGCTATAGACATCATCAAAATGAAGATTAAGATCTCCTACATCAAGGTCATCCATATATGTGGTCCGTGATAACCCATGAGAATTTCTCCACTCCAAGTGCTGTTCTACCTCCTCTAAGCTTCTCTCTGAGAAGTTATCATAATAATTAGTATGTGCAGTGTATTGATTGAAATCAGGAGGCTCAAGAAAACTTGACTGGGGTCTTGCATCATATGAGCCAGTTCTAGTTCTAGCCCACCAATCGCTTCGGGTAGGTTGTAACAAGTTACTAGTATCATGATGCTGAAGTACACTCTCCCGGAGGACTGAAGTTGATGTAGAAGCCCCTAGATGTGACTGCAATCGTCCTTCATTGTCATGGTCCCAGTATTTTTCATATCTTGCTTCATTTTGCATGAGGTTTGATGGCATCGAGTAATCTCCTTGACGATGCTCAGGCACTTCATATGGTACAGTTGGTATGTCTACTCTATGATCAGTTGTCTGTAGATATCGAGAAGTATAATACCAATCAAGAAGATATGGATGATTCTTCTGTTCTACATCAATTAGCCACAAAGAACCCAACTGATAGCCAGTTCCAGCAGTGTAAGGCAATTCCCTTAATAAGGTGCTGTTTCTGTCTCCATTGCCTCTCAAATTTGGGCTCCCACGCCACATTCTTGGTGGAGAATATGCATTTCTAATTCCTTGTCCTTGCAACTTTTGCTCCCTGAAAGTTCTAAGATTTAACAGGAACTGCTTTCCCTGAGAATTTGGCTCCCATGAAGGATAGCTACTCTGGAAACTGCAAGGAAAATGAGAAGATATAATATGCTAATAAGCAAACACAAAATCTCGACCATCCTACTGTTAGCATCACTATATTCATACCTTAAGAACGATTTCTCCATTTTCCCTTGAGAGCTCCTCTGGGTACCAGGTGTATGATATGGAGAACCATAATTGCTATTGCCATGGTTTTGAAAATCAAAGGTGCTAAAACTGCCAAATACAATTACCAAACAGTATCTATTCAATGTTAACCACAAAACTGAGCTCATAATTGGTTACAATTGAATGCCTCAACAAAAATGGTTCCAAAACTGTCAATTATAAACAGAACAGACAAACCTGCAGACATGGCCAACACCTTCAATATCCACTGTATAATCTGCAATGAACTGTAAGATGTCATCCACCCGCTGCAACATAGAATAGAAAATGTCTCAGTTAAAACTAGCATATGTGGGTGTAAATGTAATTAATTAGAGAAACTGTTTATCAAGAGATAATATGGATTAATAACCTTAGGGACAATAAATAACAGCAACATTGGAGTGAGGAAAATGGAGGCCATCTCCTCAAGTAACATCATCCCAGTATACTGCATTGCAAAGAAAAGAAAGTCACAACACTGAACAAAAGATGGTTCAATTCTCATGTAAAACCAAAGAGTTACAGTTTTGCCGTTTGCTAAAGAGAACTCAGGCATCTAATAATTTTAATCCCTAAATTGAACATGATGCCTACAGGGGAAAAACCACTAATCAATTCATGCATTAACAGTACACAGGCATCTCATGAAGCACAGGGATAAGGCTGTGATAGGCATGGGTTAATGCTACCGCTATACCATGCAACAAAGAATATTGACAACTAACACAATTTCTGGTCATATCTATAACACGAGGGGATTTTAAACAATTATTTGCAACATATTTCTTTGACAATAGAAATTCCACGCTGCACATGCCAGTGCAAAATTAATCAAATCAATAACTTCAAATTTGTTGATTTAAGTTTATCAAGACTGGAATGATATTCTCAAAAGCATTGCCCAATTTTAAATGAAGTTACAATTATTAGGGGCTCTATTAATAGGAAAGTTGCAGGAAATTTTGGTTCAAACAGGCATACAGCTACTAGTTTAGTAAGGACAGAAGAAACTTTCATAGCAAACCTGAAAGAGTGTTTCAAAATCTATCCGGACCATCTCAGTATTTTCTTTACCACGCCATCTCTTTGGCATATAATGTGTATGTTGAACTACCATAGACATTGCCCCTTCTGGATCAAGGACCAAGAGCTCATCCGTAACTGCAGCCCGGCTAATAGCTGTTATGGTTCCAAACACAGCAGCATACCAAAACAAATTGCGACCAAATATCTACATGGTTTAAAAGAAGATGCTATTAAAACATTGCAGAACAGTATATCACTATCAACTTCCATAGAATCTAATATAAGGTGACAAAAGCAAAATTATATTTTACATGGCCCTCAAGGAGAGATTCCTCCAGAAATGCAATGATGATCAGGATAGCAGCGAAACCACCCGACACAAAAGAAATAAACTTTGCTATGATAGAAATAATAGGTGATGGAAATTGCTTCAGATAATCAGAAGCATGCATGACACTGCTATTGATCCGATGCTTGAATAAATGGTCAACCTGAAGAACAAGTATGAAAACATTAATAAAAGGAAAAACTGTAGAGTTGGCAAAAAAGAGAACATCATTTGCTTAAGAAACTCTTTGAAATCTAGGTACTGCACATTAAGTTAAACCCTCTTTAACAAAAATAAAATAAAATACACCCAATCACTTCAGCAATACATATAAACCTGTCTTGTGCACCATAAAAAAAAAAAAAATAATAATTAAAAAAAAAAAAAATTCCTGTATAAAATGATGTAAAAGAAAGAGTAATTACAGTACCTCATTGAATTCCCTAAAAATCCATCTTGACAAATTTGACCATCTTCGAGATGATGCTGTACTTGGATGATTGTAGAATTGCTCAGCATGCCTTAAGAAGAGATATACTAGCATAAATATGACAAGAAATGGAGAAAGGATAAGCATTGCAAGCCCAACAACCATGAGCCTTTTCTTTAAGGTTCTAGGATTAGAAATGAAGTCTCTTCTGACACAAAAGTTTCTGCAAAATTAATAAATTCTGATCAGAGAATGATAATGTACCTCAGGAAGCATATGCGAAGATTCTATCAAGCACCCCATTAGTGAAAGAAAACATAGTTTTAGATCATGCCTAGATCACCCCTCACAAGATTTTACAATGGTCATGGTAGCACCAGGGAATGGTCTTCATTAGGAATTAGAGCCAATATAACACAGTGCCCAGTAATCAAGCTCTTTGGATCAACAGTAATGTTTATCACGAGATGCAAAGAAAATTTATAGGTTTACTTTGAAAACTCATAGTAAAGAGCTCTAAATGAATTCATTAATCAAGAAAGCAACAAGCTTATCAACATTCCCAAAATAAATGGGCTTCATACATTCTGGATTACATTTTAGAACCAATTAGAGGTGTAAATAATGTAATACAAAGCAACTAGTTTGTCATCTGGCCCAAACAAACGGAACATGATACATTCCAGTAACACTAATTAAAGAAGGCCATAAAAATAAAAATAAAAACAAGTGAATTGAGAATCCTACGTGGTCAGATAGTTGCGTAAAATCCAACTTACCGATCAAACATACTCTGCAGTATGCACCAATTCAAGGTCCATTCTAGGGTTTTGGTAAGTATTAGGCGATGCTGTGAGCCATTTGAGCCAAATCTGACAGTTGGACCAGCACCGGGTACCCACTGAGAAATTGGAAAAGCAAGCACCCCTTTGTTAAGCATTCCAATCAAGTAATTCTCCTTCCTCATCAAACGCATTATCACATCATGAGCAGAAAGATCCTTAACTACACAGAGTTGCTGCGAACTTTGTAACTGAACAACCTTCTCAAGAATGGTTGCCCAGGGCATTGTTTGGATTTCACTGTCTGTAACATGAAGACTGCAGAAGATAGTAACCACACACAATAATAAAGTGCCATCAGACAAATAGATTTTACACCAATGCCAAACTAACACTCTCATAAAACAGATTAGCACAGATCAATTCCAGACTTACCTGTTGTAATAGAAATGACGAATTCCTAGAGTATCCTTCAACTGAGTAAAAAATCTCAAGAAACAGAAGATCCAATAGATAGAAAATAACCCCAAATATCCAATAATAATTGCTTTAGAAAGCGTTAGTGGGGTTAATGGGTGCTGATGAAGAGCTTCCTTAGCAAGATCACAGGGCTTAATTCCAGATTCAACAGCATCCATTCCACACTTTGCATTACGAAGACCATTCCAATCAACATACAATAAGAAAAATGCCGAGAAACATATGGTGAAACCCAAGCTCAGAAGCTCAACCATCCATTTTATTATAATACACCAAAGTCCTTTCTCACAGTAGTAGCTATAAAGCCTTTCAAAAAACAAATCTAAATCAACAATTGGAGCCGTATTCAAGCTTTCACCATTGAGTAGCCCTGTTGGGCTCTCACTACCGGGACTTGGTACCCTTCCATGTCCATAATCAGACAACTCCACCTCAGAAGGCACATCAAGCAAGCCTGTTGTCAATGATGAATCACCATGCCATTTCCACTTCAATACATTGAGAGGATTTGCAAACTTTTGCCCACTGAACATCATTTACAAACACTGACAGTAGGCAAAAGCAGCCAGTCCATTCCCCAAACTGTGTAAATGGTTAAATTAATCTCCTGCAAGCACGTACAAACAAACAAATTTAAAGTACACAGTAAGGGATAGGAAAATAAACTTATGACAAAGCAAACAACAAAATGCACAAAAAATGACCATCAAAAGTGATTGACAATTACTACTTATATCAAAATTTTGTTACCAGCATGGATGCACCATGTTTATGTCTATAAAAAAAAGCACAAAGAAAAAGGATACAAAAACATCTCGGTTATGCTGAGATCCAAAATATTCAACGATGCTAGATTTTTTTGCATCCTAAGTATCTTAAATCTACTATTAAGAGTTCCTTTTTGAAAATGAAATGCATTGAAGCAGTAAATACCTTTCCATTCGTCAAAACTCAATTGTAGAGTTCAGTCAATTCTAATTCAGTGCAATCAATTCTAATTTAGTCCTCCTCTATTGTCCTGAAAAAGTGAAAATATAACAGCAAAAGTTTTTCAATCAATGCTATAAAAAGAAATAGCAATACATATGCACAGCATAGGCACCCCTGGAGAACCATTTGGTTTCAGACACCAAGCTAGACAAAGGGAGTACAACCAGATTGCATAGAGGTTTCGAAATCAACTGAAATTGAAGTTCTAATCACAAATTTTAAAGCCCTTAAACTCTAGCACCATTGAGAAGCATAAAGAAACCACACCTCTATTATCCCAGAAAGGAGTTGCAAAAATTGAGTCTTGCTCAACTGACTTTCATTGAAAGGATATCAAAAGAAACAATTTTACCCTGATCACAAATCACTAAAATCCAAAATCAAGAACAATGCCCACTACAAGTTATATAATTTGCCAAAAAGGAGCTAATTTTGATGAATTAAGAGTAAAGCCCACATGCCCACATCAAATAATATACAAATACCATACGAAAAACAAGCACCGAACCCTTCCTAACCAAACGGCAATTACCCAATTATTGCCCATTCAAAAAAAAAAAAATAAAATAAAATAAAATAAAATAACCAAGAACAAGTAAATTTCAATTATAATGCGTGACGTGGAACAAAATCAAATAAAATACATAAAAAAACAAAAGACGAAATTACCTGCGACCCACGAAAGCAAAGAAACAATTCAAGAAGGATTAAAGCCCAGAAAATATTGATCGTGGGAAGGAATGAAGTTAACGGAATACGAGATAAAGAAAAGAAAGAGAAGGCGAAACGATTCAAGGTTTTGATTGTGTTGTGTTTGGTCGGTACTTGATTGCGTGGAAGAAAGAGGAATAATTATGTGAAATGAGTTTAATAGGTAATTGTTATTAATAGTAAGGGGTTGAGATTGTAGTTTTATATAAATCGTATTTGTATTTGTTATTCTCAGTTTTGAGTTTGTCAAGGGAAACGTGAAGATGAGTAATTCTAATTGTAATACCTTCCTTTTCTAGATATTTAAACCATAACTCTCTTTTTATTATTAGTTAAAGCAAGTTCAGCAGAAAGAGCTTAGCAGATGAGAAATGTAGTGAAGCTTTAGTTTTACTTAGCCGATCGGTAATTTAGGGTTGGGCCATATGCCATTGTTTATTGGGCTTGTGGATTTCTGTTTGGGCTGTCCATAGAAAAAAGTCAACTCTATTAAATAATAAATACATTGAAATTCTCATCCGTTTTGTTGTATTATACAATGCACATTACAATACTTGTGTTTTAAGAAAACAAAAATTTCAAAAATATTTATAACGAGGGATTATTATGACATGATTCTTTGACTTTAGATTAATGTGTGACAAAAACATGACTTGGGAAGTCTTTTGATTTTCAATCAGTTTAAAGCAATTTGTTTAAATTTATTGAATCAAACCTAACTAATTTTTTACTCTATTAGAGGTTAATTGTTTAATATAAGATCACAATGCAATTATGATTTTATTAAATCATAAATTTATGAAATAGTAGTTAATGTCTTATATTATAAACTCATACGTGGGTAACTAGATGGTTCGGGTAGATAACCAGATGGTTAGGGTGAATTGATGATAGTTTGAATAAATGCACAATCATCCTTAATTTAAGTGAGAGATTATCACAGTGAATTATTGTATTAGTCTCCCTCGAAGATTAGTCGAAGTGCGCATAAATTGGTTCTGACTGTGGGTGAAATCGAGTCGAGTATGTTGGTACTTGAACTGGACTCGATTGCTATAATATCGAGTTCGAGTTCAAGCCTAAATAATCGAGTCGAACACGAACTCAATACCTAAAAGTCGAATTCGAGCTCAATTAATCGAGTTTTAATCAAGTTTAATTTAATATTTTTGTTCATTGATCGAACTTGACCCGTGGAATTGTTCGAGCTACTTGAACTCGACTAATGTCGAGTCGAGCCAAATCAATCTGAGCTGAGGTTTTCAGCTTGGTTTTCACCCATAGTTCGGACACCTTAACTGAAAAAAAAAGAGTACGTTATAGAACTCACATGTATTAGGCAATTTTAATATTTTATGTTATCAATTGGAAATTTTTTAATGTAATCCGAAAACTATCGGATCTTAATAGAGGTGGGCATTGTCCTAGGACCGATCTTTGGGACCAGGCCTAAGGAGGAGAGCCCGGGCCCTCCTCCAAGGCCCGGGCTTGGGAACAAATTTTTTTACACATTTTTGTTTTAGTTTATTGTATAATTATTAAAGCCCCCTAAAAATAACATAAATTATAGGGGTTAAAAGAAATTTTACAAAATTTATTAAAGGAAAAAACTTCAAGGCCTAAAAAATTTATAAATTTTACCCTTAAAAAAAATACTAAAAACCCCCTACAAAATTATGTTTCGCCCCAAAATATAAAAAAAATCGGGGGGCGAAAAAAATTTGTCAGCCATCCACGTGAGCTCCAGCTCATCCTTCCCGCCCAAAAACCCTAATATCTTCCTCGCCTCGCTTCACCTTTCACCCAACACTCTTCAAACACCAAATCTCTTCTCAGTCTCTCAACTGTTGAGAATAGAAACACAAAGTAAAAGGTACTAAACAATTCTGGGAGTGACTTAGCTTTTATTGGACAAAGTTAGGCTTAAATAGCCTTTACAAACTTGACAGAAAATGAGAAAAACCTGCTCACGTTCAACTACTTAACATGATGAGTGCAACAAAGGAAATGTAACAAATATCCTAAAGACTAGGACTTATTCAAATAAAAATCTTAACTGAATCCCTAAACTTTCTCTTCATTCCCTCCCTTAAACTAGTTACCAACTACAAGTCTACAACTAGTTTAAATCGGGAACTTGACAAACTCCCAGCTGACTTCGAAACTTCTGAAATGCATCCATTGTGAGGGGCTTTGTCATGACATCTGCCAGCTGTTCTTGTGTTCCACAGTAAACTAATTCAACTGCTCCTTCTCGTGTAAGATCACGAAGAAAATGGAATCGCACATCAATGTGCTTGCTTCGGCCATGTAAGACAGGATTTTTTGACAACTTAATTGTGGAATTGTTATCACAAAAGATTGTTGTACACTTGCTTTCTTCTAGACTCAGCTTCTCAATTATTCTCTTCATCCAAACAGCTTGACTAGCACAAGCAGCTGTAGCCACAAACTCTGCTTCTGTGATTGAAAGTGTGACTATAGTTTGCTTTCTTGAAGACCAGGCAACAGCTTCAGATCCCAACATGAAAACATAGCCTGATGTACTCTTTCTATCTTCTACATCTCCTGCATAGTCGCTATCTGTATAACCAACTAGACCTTCACGCCCTCCCTTCTTGTAGAAAACTCCAAGTCCAATGGTTTCTTGCAAGTACCATAGTATCCTTTTGGCTGCCATCAAATGCAATTCAGTTGGTTTGGCCATGTACCTGCTAATCAAGCTCACTGCAAACATCAAATCTAGCCTCGTAGTTGTTAGGTACATAAGACATCCTACCATCTGCTTGAACAAACTCTCATCAATATGAACTCCATTTTCATCTTTGAAAAGCTTACAACCTGGAACAATAGGATTATGAACCGAGTTGCTATTTTCCATCTTAAACCTCTTCAAGACCTCTAAAGCATATTCCTTTTGACAAATATAAATCCCATCAGACCTTTGTAAAACTTCTATGCCTAGAAAAAATCTCATCTTTCCCAAATCAGTCATATCAAATTCCCTCAACATGGAGCTTTTAAATTCGCTAAACATCAATTCATCATTGCCAGTAAATATTAAGTCATCAACATATAAACTGACAATGAGAATCTTACCTCCCTTAGTCGTTTTAATGAATAACGTATGCTCACTATAACACTTCTTGAACCTTTCACTTAAGAAATGTGATTCAATACGGCTGAACCAAGCTCGTGGAGCTTGTTTCAGCCCATATAACGCTTTCTTCAACTTGTAGACTTTCTGGGGGCTGTTCTTCAGTTCATAACCCTTTGGTTGCTCCACAAACACTTCTTCGTTGAGTTCTCCATACAAGAAGGCAGATTTGACATCAAGTTGATAGAGAGTCCACCCTTTTTGTGCCGCTAGAGCCACAACCATTCTTACTGTGTCCATTCTTGCAACTGGTGCAAATACTTCGGTGTAGTCTATCCCTTGTCGTTGCACATGCCCTTTTGCCACCAAACGAGCCTTCAATTTATCCACTTCACCATTTTCTTTGAGTTTAGTTTTATAAACCCACTTCACTCCAATCTTCTTTGCATCCTTGGGAAGATCAGTAAGTTCCCATGTGTTGTTTCTCTCTATAGCCTGTATCTCTGTGTCCATAGCTATCCTCCATTTGTCATGCTTTACTGCTTCTTTAAAACACACTGGATCTGTTGAAGCAAATAGAGCTGAATTAACATTTGCCTCGTCTTCCTCCGAAAGTCCTTCCCCAGTTACATAATCGCTCATCCACCTGGGAGGCCCTCTATTTCTTCCATCATATTCATCATTTTGAGGACTACTAACTGGTTCAATAATTTCTTCTTCTTCTCCATTCACTGCTTCCTCACTCTCTGCGTTTGCTGTTGTATTATCATCCCATTCCAAATCAATCATTATGTGATCTTCATAACTCTTATCCAAACTCCAAGATTTATCTTCCTCAAATACTACATCCCTGCTAACTACAACCTTTCTTTCAACAGGGTCATAGAGCCTATATGCCTTAGACTCTTCACTAATTCCCAATAACACACAAGCAAGGCTCTTTGCATCTAGCTTTTTCCTTCTCACATCAAGAACATGCACACACGCCACACATCCAAAAACTCTAAAGTGCTCAACTGAGGGTCTGCTTCCGCTCCAGGCTTCTTCGGGCATTTGATTCTTCACGGCCAATGTGGGACTCCTATTCAAAACATGTATTGTCCAATTCACTGCCTCTGGCCAGAAAGTCTTTGGCATCTTTCTTTCAACGAGCATACATCGAACCATGTTCATCACAGTTCGATTCTTTCATTCCATTACTCCGTTATGTTGTGGAGTATACACTGCAGTCAATTGCCTCTTGATACCATGTTTTGTACAAAACTCATTAAACTCAAGTGATGTGAACTCTCGTCCTCGATCTGTTCTCAAACATTTAATATATCCTCCTACTTCTTTCTCAACACAGCTCTTAAATTTTTTGAACATGCTTAATGCTTCAGATTTTTCTACCAAAAAATAAACCCATGCTTTTCTAGTAAGATCATCAATAAAGCATATAATGTACCTCTTCTTACTATTAGAAGTAGAAGATATAGGGCCGCAAAGATCTGCATGAACAAGCTGAAGTTTTTCTGTGGCCCTCCAATTGCTTATTTTTGGAATTGGATCTCTATGTTGTTTTCCAATCATACAGTTTGCACACACTGTTGTTGGAGAATTGAACTGAGGTAACCCATGCACCATCTTCTTAAATTGGAGAGTTCTCAACCCCTTGTAGCTCAAATGTCCATAACGACAATGCCATAAGTGTGCCATATCTTGTGTGGAAGTGTATAAGCAAGCTGGTTTTTGTGGTTGTGATTTTGCTAGCAACACAAACATTCGATTCGTTGACATCTCGGTCTGTATTATGAGCCCTTTCTCTGGATGATAAATCTTGAGCATTCCATGTTGAATGAGAATTGCCAATCCTTTTTCTTGTAGTTGGCCAATGCTCAACAATTTGCTTTTTAGTTCAGGCACAAAATATACTTTACTAACAACATGAGTTAAGCCACTTACTTTCAATCTCACATTGCCTTTGCCTAACACATTCATCTTTGTGTTATTTCCCAGAGACACTGTCTGCCTGAAGTCCTCATTCAGATCAGTGAACAAACTCTTGTCACCACACATGTGATTGCTACATCCAGAATCCAGATACCAGATATCTTCCCTTTGAGCACCATTCATCCCCATATATGACATGAGCAACATCTCTTCTTCTACTCCTAGTTCAGCATAGTTGGCTTCTTTATCC